TACCCTGGAACTGAGATTTGATAAGGAGATAGATTTTTGTCCCTTTTGTGGTTTGTGAAAAGGAACAGAAAAATAGTGCTTGCTTGGTTAAAAAAATATATTACGTAAGCTAGGGTTATCAAAAGTAACAAAAATCAGATACTAATCAATACTAAAACTACTATCAAAACTAGATACTCATTTAAATGGGTATTGATATTAAAAAAGTCAGACAGAAATGAACCTTTCGTAGATAGCTTTAGAATGATCCTGACCTGTATCAGAACCAGTGGAACTAATGTATTCCCTCAGGTGGGTCGCAAAAGATTTTTTGGGATCGCCTTGACACAATCTGCATGTAGATCTGCAATATACAGCTCTGACACTGATTTGGGTGTTGCGCTCTCCTCCTGCACCCTGGACTGTAACGTGCTATAAAAACGCAGATAGGCCAACCTATGTCATTAGAAATGTTGAAATGTTAAGACATGTTTTGTATAATTTCTAATCTTTTTGTAATTATTTTATAGACTATATGGTTCCAGTATTGCTGGTTCAATTGAATGTTGAAAAGAAAAAGAAATGGGTAACATTTAATGTCCAAATAGGCGACTTATGAACACCTTTTATTTCTGGTTCAATTACTGTTTTTCATTGTTTAAAAATTGAGTAATACTAATTGTTCAGAGAGACACGATCACTCAGTCAACAATAAAATATTCTCATTCATGTTCAATAATGGTCAAATCCACCTTTATGTTTTTGATTTATGAATAATGTCTATTGACTTGGGTCGCGATGGTTTCTGACTTTAAAAACATGGGTCCCCAGAAAACAAAAAAGGGAAACACTGGACTAATGCACTCATGGACCACTATGGAGCATGGAGCTTATTTTTAAATCACACTGACCAATATACAGTACACATTGTGCCTGTCCCATGCCTGAATTAAGAGAAATGGTTGTAAAATACACAATAGCTCCATCCAGAATTCATTTTCAGTCTGAAGTTACTGGCAGGAGAAACTAGAATGCCCTGAGCTCTGTTAGTCCTGGCCTAAGGGGAGAGTTAAAGCCTGAAACTTGATCTGTCTTCATTTACTTGTTGGCTTTGTCATGGCTTGTTCCCTCCTTTTATAGTTAAATAACTTCACATAGAAGTAGGTTTTGTGACAATTTTGTGAGGCAATTGGTAAGAAAACAAAATACAAATTAATAGAACACAAATCATCACAAACTATCCACACATAGCAACCACAACACACAGTTTTCTTATTGTGTGGACCAGTGTGGCTTTGAGAAACCGTGAACTCTATTGAACGCCGGAATTAATTTGTTTGTGCGACTCGGGGGGCGCAGAGCAGAGGACAGTAAAGGTTGCTGACACAGGAGGCATGGTCACATTAGTCTGAAGGTGAGACCAGACCCGTGCTGTCATTTGAATAACACCGCACGCTGCAGGAGGCCCTTAAACGCACCGCCAGCCTTGTGCCGATTCAGATACGAGCACTGAGAACAATGGCCTTGCCCTGTATTTGGGATGACTTGTTTCGTAACCCACTGCTTTCTCTCCACACGTCCCCACAGTGAGATGGAGTATCGGAGGAGCTCACCAATCACACACCGGATTAGAGATGAAATATGTCACACGAATTCAACGCAAGGAATAGCCGGGATAATACATATTCTAATGTAGCCCGACAAAGAATTATGTCCCTCATTTCAAAGCTTAATTCGGTGTAATTTGCGGTCACTTCGGTTTAGGGTTAATCTAATTGTGGGAGATCTTTTTGGACAACTTGCCTGAACTTCATTACGCCAAGACACTTAGTCATATTAAAAAGGTTTTAGTGGAATTAGGATTATAATACAATATGGTGTTCATTGTATGGATGTCAGTAGTTATTAGTTTTACAATTACAGTGACAAAGTAAAGAGGTTACAATCAAATTAAGAACATTATCTGAGATATAAAAGATAAATAAAACAAATGTGTGTGTGAATTTGTGTTATCACAGTACTAAAATTTCAAACCCGATTTTGATACAAAGGAACTGGCTTGATACTGATTTCGATACCCACAATAGAATATAATTTCACAAAATCATAATTGCCATGTGCTCTTATGATAGGATAAGACTGGTTGTTTCAGTGATATTTATTGGTATCAATACTTGTACAAATGAGTATCTAGTTTTGGTATCAATCTCTCATTTTCTATATTTTTGACAACCCTACAGAGAATATTGGTTCATCTTTTTGTATCTTACATACCAATGACGGTTTCATTGTGGAATTTTAAGCATTTCTGTTAAATAACGTAGAGTTGAATTTGTGTAGCCAAGCTGGCGCGACCTACTGCCTCCGCTCAATTTCATTTCTCTCCAGCAACTAGGTCAGGAATCCGAAGAAACTAGATGGTTTGTAAGACCCTCGGAAGTTGTAGATCGAAGAGCTGTGAAGCCATGACGTTAAACTCAAGCGCCCGATTCCTGAGATCAAGGATTTAAAACCGGAACAAAGAGAATGTTTGTTGAATTTTATCAAGGGGAAAGACGTTATTGCCCTTCTTCCTATGGGATTTGGAGAATTACATAAATCACGACCAAACAGCAGCGATTGGTTAAATTTAAAAAAGTACCTGCCTACCATTGAGCGAACCAATCCTAATGCTGCGAGGTCAGACGGGCTAACTGGGCACTACAAATACAAATTCAGTTGAAATGTGTTTAAGCAATACCTATATTATCTAACCTTTTGCTATGCAGTAACCGCAAAAAAAAATAACCATGAATGACTACTGCAATTCTTTTGACTAAACTATACTCTTTTCAAATCTAAAATCCAATCAATTACAAGCAAATGAAAAGATACAGAAACTGAATGCGAGAGATACGTGAGTCTGACAGTGAAGTGAATGTATGTACGTGTGTGTGTGTGTGTGTGTGGGAGGTGGGGTAGGATGTGGGGGGCAGTTGAGAGTGGTTGGGGGAGGAGGGCAGAACACTGAAGGGCAAACAATCTCCCTAATTGAATCCAATCCAAGGGCTCTACGGGAGGCACGGGGCTCCTGGCTGCAGTCTGTACATAGAGAGGGTCCTGCAGAGGAGGTGGTGTTGACAAGGGCCTCAGCTGGTGTGTACAAGAGGCAGAGCACAATTGGACAATAATAAGACCATTGTGAATGCATTTGAGTCCTGCTTTGAATAAACGACTTGAGCACATTATTCAATCAGATCGCAAATGAATGCAGAAACGCCACCTACAGCCTTATTTGCATGTTTATCAAAATGTACAAATCCAAAACTCGAAGGTCAATTTGAGATCTCAATGTGAAATGTTTAGAAAGAAGAAAATGGGGTTGTATGGTGGCAGAGTGGTTAGCATTAGGGCAGCATGACTATAGCAATTATATTATACTGTATTTGCAATATAGGTTTTCAAATCAGGATTCAGTTCATACTGTACATTTTAAAATTAAAGACTACCATATGAACTGCTTAACTAGTACAAGAATAAAATAGATTTAGCACAACTACATGGTTAGAAGGTTTCTGTAATAAAAAAATAAAAAAATAAATATTTTTTTTTTTTTTAAAAGACAGTGGATGGTCCATTACCCAAAAAAATTCTAATTTGAAATTTGATTTAATGGAACACTTTTAATTGTGTTTTAGATTAGATTGTGATAAATTGTACAGCCCTCATATGTTTAGTAGTGAATTCATATTAAAACGACAGTCTGGAATTTTGGGCATAGGTTTTTAAATATTCAATCCAGTCCTAGTATTTGCAGAAGTTGCCAGTGCTAGGCTAGTGCATGTCAATGGCCATAGTTAGCCTGCCACTAAAAACAGTCTTATCCACTGCACAAAGCACCCGAAGCAAATCTATTATTACACCAGACTATTGATGTGAATGTCAATAGAAAATAATAAATTTAGAAGTAAGACCAACCTTGCATTTAAAGGATTTATGTCTGAGCAGCAGCAGCGAGTTGTACCAAGAAAGCTTGGCAGTGGCGGAATGATATATGAGAAAATAGTCCATCAACATGTGACGATTCATGAGATGCAATGTTAGTTTTATTTCAGTCATTATTCTATCAGCACAGACATTTACATCAACAGTCTGGAGTAATAATTTAGTCTTTAGCTAGCCTAACACCAGCGACCTCTGCAAACACAAATACTGGATGGAATATTTTTTTTTTTTATGTTTCCGCACGTCTCCAACACTCTGGCTCACTAGGAAATGAGGTCAAATGTCCAAAATTACAGACTGTCCCTTTAAACATTCTCCACTCCACTTTCGACCCATAGTAGCTCTGCAAGCCACATCAGAAAAATCAATGATGTAATGTTTAAAACAGTAAACCAAAAAAGTTATTTCTTTAAAAGGTTGCATAATCAGAAAGCAATATTTTGAAATCTATTTTGAAATCCATTTAGCGTACATGGCTTGCATTAAATCTGGTGATATTAGTAAAAGCAGTCCAGTATCAGTGTGTATGCGAGCAGTACTGAAAGAGAAGTGCTTGGGATGAAAATTTTGGGCGGTAGAGTGGGAGAGAAAGGATAGAGCGAGATTAAAAGAGACACAGAGAGAGAGACTCAAGGCATAGAGCAATAGAAGCCAGCTGTGCTTTTGCATGATTACACTGAAAACATCATTTGCATGGGGGGAATGAAATCCAAACATGCTCGGTTGCCATGTATGCCGACCGAAAAGCTGCTCCGCCTCCTCCTCGAATCGGGCACAAATTAAAGGCTTCACCAGCAGTGTCCCGTGGATTTGCATACGAAGATGAGAGCCTATCAGGAATCATTTTCATAAACATCCTATTGCACACAAAGAACAAGCTCGGATTGGCCCGCACGGATGCTTTTCATTACTGGGCTGTGTTGGGGTACGCAGTCTGCTGAACGTGATCTATTGCTTATTCATGATCGCTAATAAGACCATTTCGGCTTGGGTTGTCAAGGCTGGTGGTGTTTGGAGAGGGGGAGATAGTACAATACCTGCGCGAAGAAAGGGCTGTGCAGTTCGGAGTGCTCAGAAATCCACCATGTTACATCCCGAGAAATGCGAGCATGTTCGGGCCTGGAAGAAAACAAAAAATACTTCAGAAGTATACTCAAGGAAAAGTAAAAGTTAAATTATAAACTGGGTGGTAGCCAAGGGGAGATTAAATACAGGGGTAGCCACGTAAGTGTGTACGAGTGTAACGTGTACAAGGTAAATTAAGCATGAACATTAAGCAAGAACACAAAGGCAGGATTAGTCGCATTAGGACGCAGTACAAAAACAGCCATGGAAACCAGTCAAACAACACATAGTTTACAAATGGTGGGTTAGGTCGAGATGAAAGGCACAGTACTGAAATGGAGTTTGAAATTCTCACTTATCACTAATAGAAACATTTTGACTTCAATGATATATAAAAAAAAAAAGCAAAAAAAACAAACAATAAATAAATAATACTAGATAAAGGTATATGGTATTTTCAGATCTACGTCATAATATTGTTTCCTCATCAAAAATATACCTGGAGTTGTGGAGTTTGGTTTCATTGACATTTGAGTTAATTTCTAAGACTGAAAACACTCTTCCTCCTTGTGATGTCATGTGGTAATACAGCAAGTGTTCCACTGTATTTTTACACTCCACACACCTTCACTAGAATCATTTAGATGATATCAGCCCTGGAATTACCAATCATTACTGAACTAAATGTAAAAAGTAGGTGGTAACTTGAAAAATACAGCTTCATTACATCACAGGGTGGAAAAGAGCATTTAGAGCTTTGGAGATTTATAGAGAAAAATAAAAACAGGTGCGAATGGAACAAAACACAACTCTTGGTATGTTTGTGAGGAGGTAACAACATTATAACACGGCTTACAGCTCTCAGGAGTCAGTTTCGCATGATATAGAACCTCATATTTATCTGTCCAAGCGATTTCCAAAAAAGTAGAAGATCAAAAGTAATGTTTTTCATCACTGCACATTTGTAGACCAGAAATGAAAAACTCACACCACATTGAAAATATCCGCTCAACAGTAAGTGCCCAAAATGCTGTTGCTACAGTTACCATCACCACCAATAATGGCTTTTTCAAAATACAAGTTCTCACAGACAGATTAAGTAGAACATATCATTCAACAACAAAAAGATAAATAAACCAAAACAGAATACAACTTTTAATCACTGACTGTATATATGTGGACATAGCCAACACAGTAGCCGCCGTGTTCCAAATGGGAAGTGAGCATGGGCACGCTTCCAGCTTCATCGACTCTGCTTCCAATTGACTTTACATTGAAAAATTGTCACCCCTCTCTGTAACTGTAGCTGTGAGCCTTGTCATTTTCATCTTAAAATGTTCATATTAACCCAGTACATGACCCTGGTGTTTTTATTTCGCTATTTTGTAAGTAAATAAATTGCTATTATCTTATTATATAGAAATCTACTCCAAATTCGCTCCTGCAAACCTCAATGATCTTCATTTGACTAGAGCAGAACGTTATGGTCACACTTCTTTATACAGTGTATGCTTTTAACCCAGTATTTGTGGTGGGGCTGAAACATATTCTGTAAGTGGGGGACCATCTTAACCTCCTTAACTACTGCCACACTATAGACCAGTGCTTTGATCGCTTTCATTTTCAATATCACAAAATGATACATCCTCACAAAATGACACATAAAAAGATAATAATTTACTATAATGACTGCTGACATGATATAGGAACCATAAAAAACTAATTTCAATAAAAACGTGTTGGTTTAACTGTGGTTATCGCTCTTTTCTCGACGCTGGGTCTGGCTTTCTTCTGGGTCGACCACTATTAAGAGGCATCTTCATAAATTTTTCAGCTGTTGTCTCGTTCGCACAGTGTATGAGACGCTATTCGGGTCACATCAGCTTTTAATGGCTGATTTATTAAGGCCCGACCAGCGCTCTGGGATGGGCTGCAGGACAAAGAGCCTGTTTTAAAACTGCATTAACACTGTGCAGTAAATATTCCATAGCACATTAGCATTTTGATGGCTACCCCCCCCCCTCACACGCCACAGCTGGGAATCAGGATCCTTCACAATTTGATATACTACACGATATATATTTCACAATACAGTGTTACAATTGTATGATATATAAGATAATCCATGTATTGTACATAATATTCTGCCATATATCACAATTTTTTAAACGCTTGTACTTGTTTTGGCATGTATCTGAGCAAAATATGTCTTGTATTGTATAAGCAGCTCTTGAGGTCAAAATAAGTCAGCTGTGTGCTGTCTGCATCTAATAATACAGTATTATGCTGTCAGAGAAGGAAGTGTACAGTTCACGGACCACTGCAAACCATTTAAAATGAACTAGTATCTGTTTTTCCATGTGTTAAGACTAGGGATGTAACAATAACCGAAATATCGTGATATTGTATCATCAAAGTTCTCAAAAATAATATCATGGACCATCACAATATATCAAATTACAAGTCTCTTTGCTTAAATTAAGAGTTATGGTGCAGCAATAGCTAAAAAAAAAAGACAGGGAACTACATAGACCATGATCCTTTGCTCCATTTCAGTGCAGACTACATGAAGAAATAAGAGTTCTAAGCACTTTTAAGTCTTAGTTCTTTGGATTAAGTCTTGTCAAGGTGTTTTAAGAAGTAGAAAAAGTAGCATATTAGCAGTTTTGTGACCCTTCACAAAATATCACAATAAATATCGTACCATGAGGTTCATATCGTGAGGATATCGTATTGTGAGACTTGGATATCGTTGCACCCCTATACTGAAATAAAGGTAATTTTGAGAGGAAAAAGTCACATATTAACAGTTTTATTATCCTCCACAAAATATTGCAATAAATATCATGCTGTGAGATGTATATCGTGAAAATACTGTACCGAAAGATTTGGATATTGTTACATCCCTAATCGTGAGACTCTCCACCATATCGTGAGCTTTCCCACGATATCGCAATAAATATGGTACGTATCGTAAGTCTTAGTTCTTTGGGTCAAGTCTTGTCAAGGCATTGTAAGAAGTAGAAAAAGTAGCATATTAACAGTTTTGTGAGCCTTCACAAATATCACAATAAATATCGTACCGTGAGGTTCATACCGTGACGATATCGTATCGTGAGACTTTGATATCGTTACACCCCTTGTTAAGACAGTAAAAAAAAAAAAAACCTAACACATTAATAACCATATATCTCTGTTAAACCTGCACCAACTTAATATGAAATACACCCATTTTAATCATCAAATCAATTATCGCTGAATACGATCTTAAGATACATACATTTCCACATTTTTGCACACCTCGCTACCTCGCAGTATCTCGCTCTCCAGTGTCTCTTAGCACAACACAAATTCATCTTCTGCATCTTGGGGACTTTTTCTTTATTATTTCCTGGCATTACAAAGCGGTTCCATTTAATTAGTAGCCACATGGGGTAAATTCAGATTCTTTCAGAGATATCTCACCTCCACTGTTGAAAAACTTGTCAGGTTGGAAAAGAGCTTGTTGAGATATAAATAGCTGTACATGGAGTCTAATTAGTTTGAAGTCTTACCTGCTATGATTGCAGTGATGAATGCTGAAGAGATAGTAAATAAGACGTCTCAGATAATTAAAAAGGTGAGAAATTAACAAATTAATTTAACTGAAATATCTGAATAGAAAGTTGAAGGGGAAAAAAAACTGTCAGCCAATAAGACACTGGTATTTTCACGATATACATCCCATGGTACGGTATTTATTGCGATATTATTTTTGTACACGCTAACAAAATTGTGAAAATGCTACTTTTTACATGCAGGTGACACCAACAGGCCAAGTTCATTTGCCAGGTCTGTGGAGAGGTGACCCCTCACAAGAATATGCAAGACAAGACAACTTTCAATGCCATGCTAGGGGTGTAACGATATCCAAGTCTCACGATACAATATTGTCACGGTATGAACCTCATGGTACGATATTAATTGCGATATCGTGGAAAAGCTCACGATATGGTGGGGAGGCTCACAATGTAACAATATCCAAATCTCTCAGTATGATATTTTCACGATATGCATCTCAAGGTATGAAATTTATTGCAATATTTTTTGGAGACTAAAAAAACTGTTAATATGCTACATTTTCCTTTTAAAATGCCCCGACAAGACTTAATCCAAAGAACTAAGACTTAAAAGTGCTTAGAACTGTTATTTCTATTATCTATTATAGTCTACATTGAAATGGAGCAAAGGATCATGGTCTATGTAGTTCCCTCCTGTCCTTTTTTTTTTAAACTATTGCTGCACCATAACTCTTAAATTAAGCAAAGAGACTTATAATTCGATATATTCTGATGGTCCATGATATTATTGAGAGAACTTTGACGATATGATATCACAATATTTCGGTTATTGTTACATCCAAAAGCCATACTGCAAAAAATTCCATGCAATAAAATCTCCATGGCGACAGAAATTCAGAAAAGTTAAATAAACTTCAGAACTTAAAAGGTTCACCACGTAACCTACAGTATATAGTGCAGGGTCCGCCACCTGCTCGTCTCCATGGAAATGTTACTGCTTTGTCTAGAATGTTTCACAGTATAGATTAAACCTATCACAAGGGAGAGAAGCAGGTTACAGCACTACGCAACATTACAGTTCAGATCTGTGGAGAGTCAGCCCTATTCACAGAAGGTATTGATGTATTTTTGATTAACAGAAATATCCATAATGAATAATGCTAGATGGATATATTTAATGTCATACCATGGAACATTCCAGGGAAAGCAATAATATCTCCCTAGAGAAAAGCAGATAGCCACCAAGACCTTCCACCAGAAAATTTGTGCAAATCACCTTTAATGTCATTAATCCTTAGCTACCTATAATCATGATAATTAACCAAAAAGATTTGGACTACATTTAAAACAACTTCTATACTAATCTCCATTTGCTTCAAAAATGAACACTACATAATTCATTGCCTAAGACTGAATAACAGAGTATAATAGCACAGAATACATTTAGTGCATCAAAATTATAATTTAAATTGATTTTACCATTTAAATCATTGC